CCCCCCCAAAACTCCCCATGTGTAATGATAAATAAACCAGGATTTTAATTAGGCATGCTGTTGCACACCTTTAATCCCAGCAGAGGCAGGCAGGTATGTGAGTTCAAGACCAGCCTGGTCTGCAGGGCTAGTTCCAGGACAGCCAGGGCTACACAGAGAAACTCTGTCTGGAAAAACAAAACAAAATCCAAGAGGAACTACCTAAAATGGCTTTTCTGTGCACACACACATGCACACATATCCTCACAGATATGTTCCCACGTTCACAAACACATGCTACACACACACACAAACACACACAAATAAAGGGTTGGGTATGGTGGCACACACCTTTAATCCAAGCACTATAGAGGCGGAATAAAGTGATCTCTCTGAGTCTCCAGACAGCCAGAGTTATAGTGAAATCCTGTCTCAAACAACAAACAAATATAACACTGAGTGGTATACTCAGTAACAGATTCCTTTTCTAGAATCTCCCCAGTGAGGGTCTGGGGCCATGGCTCAGTGGTAGAGCCCCTGCCTAGAATCCCCCAGTGAGGGGCTGGGGTGTGGCTCAGTGGTAGAGCCCCTGCCTAGAATCCCCCAGTGAGGGGCTGGGGTGTGGCTCAGTGGTAGAACTCCTGCCTAGTATGTGTAAGGCCATCACTTCCATCTTCTTCAGGATTCAAGATAAAATAACTATGTAAATTGGAATTCATAAACCGTTGCTGCTGTTGTTTTTGGCGGGCTGTATGCTGGGTGGATCAGATGTCCCTGCATCTGTAATGAACCCGAAGGACTAATTTGTGCCGGAAATGACAACTGCGATAAAAAGGAGGCAGCGAAACTGTTTGGCGCTCTTGCACAGTCCCTGCAAACAATGGGGATTTCACTTCTAGGCAACAGACACACAACAGTAACGAACCTCAACAGGAGAATGGCCTCCTCCCACCAGAGAGGCTGACACTAGGAAAAGCTTGAAAAGTCCAGCCGCTGCAACGTGAGGCGCTGCGGTGCTCTGTCGGGACAGGAAGCTTCCAGAGGGCAGGCTGGGTGCCCTGGACAGCCCAGGGGAAACATTCTGAAGAGACAACCTCACTCTTTAGCCCAGTGTGGCCTCAGACCCCGAGCAATCCTCCTGCCGCTGCCTCCTAAGTGCTGGGAGATTACAGGCTCAGCACCGCTGGCCCCGGGTGACACCGATTTACAGATTTGAAGCTATGCTCTCTGTGAAGTCACATCCCAATGAAAAAAGGACCTTGCATAACCACTTTGACTGTGGAGGAAACAAGGCTCCTTCCATTTACAGATCTGACGCCGGGGGTGGATACGTAACAGACCTCCATGTGAAATGTACAGTTTAACAGTTATTTATCAGAGGGGGTGTGGCACGAGACAGTGTGGAGGTCAGAGGACGGCTTCCATCGCGTGGATCCTGGGCATTTGAGTTCAGAATGAGTAGCAATCACCTCTGTCTGCTGAGACAGTTCGCTGGCCCCTTTGTTCGCGTTGCCTTCGGTGGACATGGAGAAAGTTACTAAGGGAGGCCTGCAGAGAGGGGTCTCTTCAAAGAAGACAGGAAGGAGGGTCCCAAGCCAAGCCTCCCTTCCCAGATGAAGGGTTAAGTTGGAAGTGTGGAGTTGGAGAGAGGGTATGGAAGGAAGGGGTTAATGGGATGCGCCTCTGAAGCAGCAGGTGAGGTTTCCAGGCTTGAATTCCTGTGTGTGTGTGTGTGTGTGTGTGTGTGGGGCTGTGGGGGTGCAGGGCCACGGCAGAGGAGGGGTTAACGGGGGCGGGCCTGGCTGGGGCGGGGCCTGGGCTCGGACTCCAGCCCCGGGCCAGGGGTTGTCGCTGCTCTCCTGCCCCGCAGGGGCGCCCGCCGGGTCCCGCGCTGCGCAGATACGGGATCAGGTCGCAGACGCCGGCCGTTCAGCCCAGCCGCCGCGCAGGTGGGTGCTACCCTCCATTCCTGTCCTTCCCCTTAGCAGGTCCAAGACCTTCGGGTGGCCGCTCCGCTGCCTCAGTCTCCCCGCACTGTCCACTCTCCTCCACTTGGCTCTGGAGAGTCTATCTTTTCTGTATCTCTGCTTTCCCTGTGGTTCCTAGGATCCCCTGCCTCTGGGGTCTCTCTCTCTCTCTCTCTCTCTCTCACACACACACACACACACACACACACATACACACACACACACACACACACACACACACGATCTCACCGCATACCTTAAACTACCTTTGAACTCACTCTCTTGCCAACATTGGTCTCAAACTCACTGCAATCCTCCTGCCTCAGCTTCCTAGGGTATACTGGGATTGTATGTTTGTGCAACCACCCGCGACTCTCCACCCTCTGGCGTTCTGTAGATAGACGCTGGCTACACGGCTCAGGTTTTCCTTGAACTGGCCATTAACCCTGCCTCAGCCTCCTAAGTGTCGCGGTTAAAGGTGTTCTTCAGCAACAAACCTAGTGGGCTCTGTTTCTTCATCTCTTAGGATCCCTCGCCTGCTCTTCCTGTCTGCCTCTGGGTCCTTCCTGCTTCAGCTTTGGCCTCTGTTTCTCCGTTATTGTTTTGTGGGAGACCCCTCCTTCTCTTTGGGTGTCCCCAATTCTGTACCCATCTCAGCATCTCTGTGAGCTTCTCACTCTCTCCCATAGGGTTCCTCTTTGGTTCTCTTGCTCTCTGGCCCTCGCTCACTCTCACACTGCCGTGGCTCCTTTAGCCTCCAGCCTCCTTAAATCTCTCCCTAAGTCCTGAAACATCGTAAAATCATCTCCTCCAGGATGTGGGGCTGCTTAGGGTTGAAGCTGGGGACAGTGGGGCTGCAATCCAGGCAAATGGATTCTGAGTGGCACCATGACCCCAGTGCCCACCTCATAGTCCCCTCATGGCTTCTGAGGTCACACCTACCCCACCCTCCAGTTTCAGGAATTCCTGGCTGGGGATGGGGGGTGGACTTCCTCCCCCACTTCCTCCCTTCTAGGATTTGGCTGGGTCCGTTAACTCCTTCTTGCTTTGCCTTACTCCCCTTCCCTGCAACCAAGCTCCACAGTACCCCGACCCTCAACCCGGAGAAGGTGAGGCTTCAGAATTCCCAAGGCTTTGTTGTGTGTGTCCCAAGCTGGATGTGCGAAGGGGGGCGCTGGAGTAAAAGATGGGAACACCACAGCACTCCTAGAGCCTCGAGACAGCTGTGTCCCCCTGAAGTCTACCAAAAGGGTGTCCCACCAGCTCTGTCTCTGAGGTTGGACCTGATCGACTGCAGGTTTGGGATCCTCCAAGGAATGGTGGATGACACGGGTAGGGGGAAGGTTCTCAAACTCAGACCACCCAGGAGCCCTGCAGTGTGCCCTGGTGGTGCCTGACTGTTGTCTTAGCACTTAGAAGAGAGAGACATGAGGGTTAAGTGTTTTGGGCCAGCCTGGGCTACATGACACCCTGCCTCAAAAAACTCTTGTAATGGCACATGCCTGTAACCCAGGCTGAGGTGGGAGAATCTTAGTCTGAGTGAGGCCAGTCTGGGCCAGATACTGAGACCCTGCCTTCCGGGACCAGGACCCCGGAATGCTGAAACCCTTTGAGACAAGTACAAGGTACTGAAGGTCCTTCTGATGTTCCAACCCTTCAGTCCATGCAGATCAGTGCTGACAGCTTGATGGTTTACCGAATTCATGGCTGTGTGGTACCAAAGACCTGTAGGAACCGTGTAGGCCATGCCCCTTCCATTTTATAAGTGGGGAAAACTGAGCCCTAGAGCAGAAGTGAGTTATCGCCAGCCTCAGGGGTTGGGGCGCTTGTCCAACAACAGCAACCCATATCCGAAGACCTGGGTTCCCTTGACCGTATCTGTATCTGGAGACCTGAATTCTTGCACCACTGCTAAGTCGGATTAATTTGGGCAATGAGGTCCTCTCTGAGTAGGGAGAGATGCCAGACGTGGGCATGGGTGGCGGGGAGCCAGGTGGGAGGGCTTGCTGGTGAAGGGGGAGAGGCATCAGAGGTGGCCGGGGCTAGGGGTTTGAGGGGGAGAGTTTTCAAAAGGAGGGAGGCAAGCCAAGCAAATGGACTCCACCCCTGTCTCCTGGCCCTCCCCCACCCCGAAGCCCACTGTTCCTCTGGGGCAGGGCCTATAATTTGGTTTGTGTCTAGACAAATAATAACTCAGCTGGTGTGAACAGGGAGGGATGAGGCCAGACCGCTGAGCAAGGAGTCAGAGGAGCCTGGGTTCCGAGGGTCCCTTCCTGAGGTGGGGAGACGACCCTCGTGGGGAGCCAGGGGAAGGTAGTCACCCATCCTGCCCCCTCCCCGGCTCTGTGAACCCTGGGCACTGTAGGATGCTGCCCAATCTGAAAACTCATGGGTTTTTCTTAACTCAAAGCAGAAATGGGGGGAAAGAGGAAGTGGGGTCCACTTTTTACAAGGTGTTTTCATTTCGGTAAAGAGCGAAAAGGGAAATGTGTATTCATTTGCTGGGAAAAGATAAAAATCACCCAGGGCTTAATTATAGACTGTGAAAGTCATAGCGTGTGTTTTATTTTATTTTATTTTTAATTTCTTTTTCTTTTTTTCTTTTTTTAAATCATAGAAGGTTCTAACAATGGAACTTCAGAATCTTGGGCTGGGAGACGCCTGTGATATTGGAAACTGACAAGGGTGCGTTGGCAAAGGCGAGGATAATAATAACAGAAAGGAAAGAATCAAGGCTCTAGAATGTTAGAACACTGGACCACAAGCGGGGCTGGCCGCAGAACCTGGGGCCTTGAGAACTGTTAGAGCTGCGAATATCAGCGGGGTAGCTCTAAGAATTCCATAGTCCTGCTGGGCGGTGTGGGCGGAGTGGCCAGGGCGGGGGTGGGACAGAGACGCTCCTTAAGAGAAATGGGGAAACCGAGGCCCAGCCAGGCCATGAGGGTGGCCTGGACTGCACCCCCCTCACCGGTTCAGCTTGCTGCCAAGGCACCAGGTGGGCAGCGAGACACACTGATCAGATTTCAGCCCTAATGAGCAGACCGGAGCTGGCCGGTCCCCGGGGGCTTCAGAATTGGGGAGACTGGGAGCCTGTGGTGGCAGGAGAGAGGGGAGCCAGCCTAGTGGTCTTGCAAACAAGGATGGTGAGTGGGGGAGGGGTTCATGAAGATTGGGGGTGGGGTGGCGGCTGTCACCTCTTTCTTCCTGGCTTTTCAACCTCCAGGTCTTTGAACCTTTCTGGATGGCGGACTGCCTTGTGGGACCAGGGTTTTTTTTCTGGCTTTGTAGCTGACACCTGCGGGAGCTTGGGGTACAAGTTAGCCTTTCCTAGCCCCCACAAATATTGTGCCACACTTGAACTTATCTTTCCTGCAGGACCTGAGTTGGGGTGGGGTATATGTAAAATTTGGGCATGCATGCACCTCCCCAAGACTCGCTAAGGGTTAAGATAACACTGACTTCACCTGGGGCTGCGTAGGGGCCGGGGCCAGAGGGACACTCCAGCCACAGTGGGTCAGTGTGTGTGTGTGTGTGTGTGTGTGTGTTTCCCCACATGTGTGCACAAGTGCATGTTAATTTGGAGGCCAGAAGAGAATGTGGTTGTCTTTTTCCACACAGCCCAACCCCCTTGGTTTTTGAGATCTAAACCTGAAGCTCACTGTTTCAACCAGCTAGCCAGGTCCTGGGACACATGCCTGTAAGTCCCAGAACTCAGGAGGCAGAGGCAGAGGCAGACAGATCTCTTGTGAGGCCAGCCTGGTCTACAGAGTGAGTTCCAGGATAGCCAGGGCTAAACAGAGAAACAACGAAAAATTTCAAATTTTTAACAAAATCATAAAAGGGGTCTGAAGCCCCTAGAAAGACAGGAGTACAGGAATGAGAAGAGAGAGACAATCAGAGAAGGAGACACTGCTCAGCTCAGATAGTCAATAAAAGCCTTTCCACTGTGGGCCTCAGTTTCCCCATATGTACAGGAAAAAGTAGCTCCCTGTCCGCACTCACTACGTGAGCCTGTACAATGGAATTCTAAGACTCAGAGGTTCTGTGATGATTTGGAGGGGGGGTGCTGTGGTGGCCAGATGTCAGGCAGGCACTCTGTCTGTCTGTGTGCCTCCATGCCTCATGCCTCGCATCCCTATGACTCAGGTAGGCTGAGGACAGGGTGGACGCCAGACTGTGTTCCCTGGGAGGAAATTGGCAATGGGAAGTTCATTTCCGTTGCCTGCTAGGAATGTCTTTGCTGCCTGTGTACCCGTTCCAGTCACAGCAGGGACCTGGGGCCATGGAGGGGGGTTTCAGGGGACATCCAGCTCTCCCAGAAGGGCGTTTATGTGGGCGCTGAGGGTCTGAATGCGGGTGCCCACCTAGCACGGCAGCCACTTCACGCACTGAGACATATCCTCAGCACGCCCCAGCCCGCCACCTACTTACTTTCTCTTTACATTTAAGGTGTCTCATTTATCCCAGGCTGACCTGTTAGAATTATAGGCCTGGGCCAACCTGACTGATTTATGAAGCGCTGGGGATACGACCCAGGGCTTCATGCATGCTAAGCTAATACTTCATCAGATAAGCTATATGCTTTAGACCTCTTTCTAGCTCCCTGTTTCTTCTTTGTGGGAATAGGGATTGAACTCAGGACCCCATGCCTGCTAGAGAAGCACTCTTCTGTGTAACTATGCCTGGCACCCACCGTTAGGTTCTAGGTAACCATTCTATCATTAAGCTATATCCCCAACCCCCAATACTGCACATTTTACTGACGATGTCTTATTTTGTCAAAGATTTCCATGTGTGGTGTGATTAGGATAAGGACTGTACCTACCCCTCTTTTGCAGAAGTTGAGGCTTCTGGAGAAACACATTTCCCATCATGTCACAAGAGGAAAGGAGGAGAGATGAAAAGAGTGATAGTGAGGAAGGCAAACGAAGAGGAGAAAGATGCCAGAAGAGGTTTAGAGGGAACACTTGGTCTGGGTGGGAGGTTTTGACTGATGCTAGGCTAGGCTCACTCCCATTGGTTCACCCAGGAACAAGACCCTGCCACTCCATCCCCCAAGGGACCCAGAAGTTTTCAGCTCTGAGGATGGATGGTAGGTGGCCAAGGACCCCCCACAGGGAGCTGGCCTTAGGGATTAGGAAGTGGCTTGACCTTTCCAAGTCAATCAGGAAGCAGATTGGTCCTGCCCTTTAATCTCTTCCCAACATGCAGCCTTTTCCTCTTTGGCTCCCCAGGGCTTAGAGATGCCTGGGGTCTGGTGCCAGGGGGCAGGGGTGGGGAAGGAGGAGGGCCACGAAGAGAGAAGGGCTGGTCAGGGTGTTCTAGGCTTCCGGACTGACTTCTTTACTCAGCCACTTCCTGAGCACCTGCTGTATGCAAGGACTGTCCTTCACACAGGCATAGATAATCCACCTGATAAGAAAGGCTTCTGTCCCCCACAAGAAGTTCTACACAGACAGAAGCCAGCTGGATACACATCGCTGTGAAGAGAAGGTTGTGGTGGTAATAGGGACTTTGTAGCGGAGACTCGTGAAAGAATAAAGAAGGAATATAGATAGAGGAACTGAAGACAGCATAGGCCAGTCAGGCAGAGAGTGTGAAGGTATCAGGACTGGAGAAAGCTCTGGCTTGGAGACTGCTGAAGGGAGATGGAGTAGGCAAGGCAGCACAGGATAGCTGGGAAGAGCCTTGTTATCCAGGACCAAGCACCAGGAGGTTCCATATTTTTGCCTCAAATCTTTCAAATAGTGCCCATAGAACCTAGGGCATTGCACATACTAATCAAGTACTCTACCACTGAGCCACACCCCAGCCCCTCACTGGGGGATTCTAGGCAGGGGCCCTACCACTGAGCCACACCCCCCCCAACACATGTGTGGAGGATGTGGCTCAATTGGTAGAGCACCTGCCTTGAATGCATGAGACCAAAGATAACAAAGTCCAGCTCTGTGTGAACTGGGCATAATGGTGCGATCCCAGCACTCAGGAGGAGAAGGCAGGAGCATCGAGGTCATCCTTAACTACACAGCAGGTTCAAGGCTAGCCTGGACTGCATAAGAATGAGAGAGAAAGGGTGGAGGGAAATTGGTTCACACACAAGAAAACTAAGTATGTACAGACACTCCGATCCTCAGGTGAGGGGTTTGGTGTATGAATGTTTTCTGCTCTAAACCTGTAGAGCTTCCCATAAAAAAAAGGCCCGAGATCCTCACTTCAGACAATGGGAAAGGAGAGGGAAGGGGCTGTGAGGGCTGTGTGCCCTGCTGTCACCAGCCCCGGGCTCCCCTGGGCTCTCGGTCCCATTGTCAACCCTGAGGCCCTTTTGTGTCCACTGACGGGCAGGCTGAGAACAGGGCTGAGGACCTCGGACAGATCTGGGCAGTGCTTCTTGCTTCTGTTGGTCAACTCTTGTGTCTCTGTGTGTGCGTGCGTGTGCGTGCGTGTGTGTGCAGTGCTTGATATACGATCCGTGTGGGGGTTAGAGGACAACCTGTAGAACTGTTTTTCTCTTCCATGGTGTGAGTTCCTGGAATCAAACTCGGGTGGCAAGGCTTGGCTGCAAGCTCCTTTCCCCATGGGCCATCTCCACACCCTCACTGTCCACTGCTTACTTTGAAACAGGTTATCATGGCTTCAAACCCAATGTGTAGTGGAGGATGACTTTGAACTCCTAATTCTCCTCTGACATCGAGGATTGAAGACACATGCCAACACGCTCAGCATGTCGGGTCTTTGATTTGGATTTTGAAAGCCGCTCTGTTGCCCGACAACCACAATCCCATGCTCTTGGCCCTTGGGGTGGGACTCAAGCAGGCTTTGTTGGAGTGTTCCCTCTGCCTTCCGCAGGAATCATGGGAAGGCATGGGGGAGGCCAGCATGGATGACCATGCCTGTTTCACTGCTGTCTTCTCTCCCCACAGGCCTAGCGAGCTCACCTCTCAATGCAGTCATGAGTGGGACAACATCACCTCCACCCCTCAGTCCCCACCAGGATCAACCCTGAGACTTCTTGGTGGCCCCATCAGAGTCCCGCCTCTACCCACAACCCTCCTGTGCTCCATCACTTGCTCACCTTTCCGTTTCCTAGTTTCTATTCCCACAGTCCCCAGCCCTTACAAACCCTTCCTCTTTGTCCATCCCCAGAGGAGACCTCATTTTTCTTCTCCCTCTGGTGACTTCACATAGCTCTCTGTTTCCTGCTGGGGTCCTGGCAGATGCCAGCACTCCAGGTTGCATATTCCCAACTCTGTGTCTTATCTCAATGATCCCTGTGCTGTTTCCTGATTCTTCTGGAAGGTTCCATCCCATTGGTTCTTCCTCATGTCCTCGTCTACTTCCTAAGACCCGATAAACACACCTCTTGTATCTTCATCTCCTCCATAAACACTGCCTTCACCTGTTTTGTTTTGTTTTTCTCCGGTGCCACCATCTTTATATTCTGATTGCGTGTACAGACACCCTTATTGATACTAGTCCCACCTCTTACCCTACTTCCAGCCTTCCTTGATGCTCTTTCTCTCAAGTTCTCCTTTTGCTTAGCCGGCCACAAAGCAAGCCCAGACTCAGTCCTCCTGAACTGTCTCCTGCGATGTTCCCCTGAGCCTCCGAAGAGGGGGCTCAGGGGGCCCCATGGCCTCCCGCCCCCCGTGGCCCTGTAGCCCCAGCGGGCCAGGGGAAGCACCTGGGAAGCCCCAGCGCCCAGCATGGGCAATCGCACGTGGGAGGGTTGCCATGTGGACTCACGAGTGGACCACCTCTTCCCGCCGTCCCTCTACATCTTCGTCATCGGGGTGGGGCTGCCCACCAACTGCCTGGCCCTGTGGGCGGCCTACCGCCAGGTGCGCCAGCACAACGAGCTGGGCGTCTACCTGATGAACCTGAGCATCGCCGACCTGCTGTACATCTGCACGCTGCCGCTGTGGGTTGACTACTTCCTCCACCACGACAACTGGATCCACGGCCCCGGCTCCTGCAAACTCTTCGGCTTCATCTTCTACAGCAACATCTACATCAGCATCGCTTTCCTGTGCTGCATCTCCGTGGACCGCTACCTGGCGGTGGCCCACCCACTGCGCTTCGCGCGCCTGCGCCGGGTCAAGACCGCCGTGGCGGTGAGCTCCGTGGTCTGGGCCACCGAGCTGGGCGCCAACTCGGCGCCGCTCTTCCACGACGAGCTCTTTCGAGACCGCTACAACCACACTTTCTGCTTCGAGAAGTTCCCCATGGAGAGCTGGGTCGCCTGGATGAACGTCTACCGCGTGTTTGTGGGTTTCCTCTTCCCGTGGGCGCTCATGCTGCTGTGCTACCGCGGCATCCTGCGGGCCGTGCAGAGCAGTGTGTCCACCGAGCGCCAGGAGAAAGTCAAGATCAAGCGCCTGGCCCTGAGCCTCATCGCCATCGTGCTGGTCTGCTTCGCGCCCTACCACGCCCTCCTGCTGTCTCGCAGCGCTGTCTACCTGGGCCGGCCCTGGGACTGTGGCTTCGAGGAGCGAGTCTTCTCCGCCTACCACAGCTCCCTGGCCTTCACCAGCCTCAACTGCGTGGCCGACCCCATCCTCTACTGCCTGGTCAACGAGGGAGCCCGCGGCGATGTGACCAAGGCCCTACACAACCTCCTCCGCTTCCTGGCCAGCGACAAGCCTCAGGAGATGGCCAACGCCTCGCTCACCCTGGAGACACCCTTGACCTCCAAGAGGAGCGCCACCGGCAAGTCCTCAGGGGCTGTCTGGGCAGTGCCTCCGACCGCCCAGGGGGACCAGGTGCCACTGAAGGTGCTGCTGCAGCCAGCACAGTGAGCCCCATCCCCAACCTGGCCCCCACCCCGTGTATGCAAATGAATGTAAATATGTCCTTGTGAATATTCATAAGAATACAAGGGGGAAAATGTGGCTTTTGTGTCTCTCTCAAGCCATCTTCTTCCACCATGATCCCCAATGACTCGCTATAACCCACAGGGCCTGAAGGGGAATGTCACGGCTAGAAGTCTGTCATCACGGACTCCCAGATGGAGTCAGCCATGTGGAGTTTAGGATGAGGTGATGATTCAGTTAACTGGTTTCCAATAAAGACAGAAGAGTCTGGTCTGATGGTACAAGCTTGTGATTCCAACTGCTTGGGAGGCTAAGGAAGGAGGATTTGAAAGTTCAAGACCTACTTGGACCACAAAGTTAGACCCTGTCTCAAAATACTGAGTGCAGCAAAGCCTGAGGATGTAGTCTAGCAGTCTCTATCTAAAGTGGAGGGCTGGGGTGTGGCTCAGTGGGAGATCACCTGCCTAGAATCCCCCAGTGAGGGGCTGGGGGTGGCTCAGTGGTAGAGCCCCTGCCTAAAATCCCCCAGTGAGGGGCTATTAGAGCCCCTGCCTAGAATCCATGCTGGTAATAGTAATTCTCTCTTGTTTGTATTTTGAAAAAGAGTGTGGCTATTTGTCACAGTCTGGCTTTGAGCTCATGGTCCTCCCTTCTTCATCTACCCAAGTGCTAGGCTTACAGGCTCGAATTACTATGTCAAGTAGAGAGATTCTGAGATTCTACACAGACAACATTCTCTCAGTCCGGGATGGTGTAGGAGGATCAGGAATATCAAAAGTAGATGAGGCCCAATCTGGGCAGACTTCCTGGAGGAGGAGTAAGCAGGACTGGCTTAGAAACGAGGCTCAGGACAAGAAAAGCATCTATCCATCCACCTGTCCAACCATTTATTCATTCACACTTCAGAGAAGATGCCTGGTCTGTGACGACCAGATCCTGTCAGAGAGGCTAGGATTAAGAAATTAAAAGTAAACATAGCAACACGAGCTGTTTCAGATCAGAGCCTTTGCCTGCCCAGCCATCTTGCTAGCCCCTTTCTCTTTTATTTTGGTTCTAGTCTTGGTAAGTTGCCCAGCCTGGTTCTGAACTCTCTGTAGTCCACACAGGTCTTTAGTTTGTGACCATCCTGCCTAAATTTCTTGAATAGCTGGGATTACGAACCTGAGCTGCCAGGGCCAGATTGATTGCTTTTGTTTTTTATTTACTATTGTTTTTAGACAGGTCTCACTGTGTAGCCCAGGTTGACCTGGAACTTACCATGTAGAACAGACTGGCCTAGAACTCACAGAGACTCCATCTGCCTCTGCTCTTCCTCCTGAGTGCTGAGACTAAAGGCATGTGCCACTATGCCAGTAGGATCAATTTTTAGGACTTCTTTTGAAGGAAGACCTAGTGGAAGAAACACAGAGCTTGACCTGAGGGATTGTGTAACTTGAGCCCCTGACCCATTCTGGGAAAAGGGTGCTCAAGGGGCCTGGGCGGAAAGGGCCTCTGGGAACCAGCCCAGGCTCTAGGCCAGGGTGGTCATTGAAAAGGCTGCAGGGCCAAGGGTGGAAGGCCTTACGGTGAGTCAGTGCTGGGCCACCCTAGGCTCCCTGTTCTCCCATAGCTGTGTGTATTCCCACGCCCCAGGCTGACCAGGGCTGCCTGATGTAGCTAATGGTGTCCCTTCCTCTTTGTGGTTTAATGGGTCATCCAGATGCTGTGGTGGTTCCTCCAAGCAACCAGGCAGGAGGGGGAAGGAAGTGACCAGTTCTGACAAGCAAGCCCCCATCCCCAGGAGATGCCACTCCCTATGACGGAGAAACAGCCCCAAGACGGGAAGATCACAAACACACACACACACACACACACACACACACACACACACACCCCTGAGAAATCCCATGGAACTCTTCTCAGAGAACAGAAGAGAGGAATAAGATACATAAGCACTTACTGAAGGAAAGGATGATGTAAGACAAGGAGTGAGGAGTGGAGGGGGGTCAGAAAGCACCAGTTTGGGAAGGAGAGGGGGTATCTGCATGGTGATGCAATCCTGTATCCCCAAAACCTCTAGGCCAGTGTAAGATGATGGTACCCTAAGTTTGAGGACAGACTGGGCTAGGTAGCAAGACTGTCTTCTCAACAAAGCAAAATATACTGAACACCTACTGTGTTGGAGAAGCTGTTCTGGGTGCTACGGATATAGCCAAAAAGGAAGAATTAAATATACATGAGTTTAGTAGTTTCCTAAACCCTTCCTGGGGATCCTAGACCCCCTAGTAGGTCCTCTGGCCAGCAGGAATGAGAAGAAGACCCTGAGCTGGGACTTAAGAGATGCCAGTGTCCTCTCCCTGATTACCTACAGAAGCTTGGGCCTAGGTTGGGAAGTCTGTAGAATGGGAAGAGGGGTCTGGAGAGACGGCTCAGTGGTTAAGAGCATGTACTGTTCTCCCAGAGCGCCTGAGTTCTATGCCAGCACATCAGGTGCTCATAAACACTGGCAATTCCAGCTCCAGGGACTGCAATGCCCTCTTCTGTCCTTCAGGGGCACGACACTCCTGCACACACTGCATCTCCCAGGAACACACACACACACACATACACCTAATTAAAAAGGAAAACAAATGGGAAGATGCTGCCCAAAGCCGATGATGGATCTCGTCCAACCACACAGAAAGGGGTCCTGGAAGAGTTGTGTTTCAAGATTCTGGACATTCTTCTTAACGAAGACATCCGGGACACACATGCTCTCCCCCTTCTTTCTAGCGGTGGACATCGAACTTTACTGAACATACCTATACCACGGCCCTCCTTGATGTACATCTTATTTTTGTACATTGTATTTTGAGCTGGGGCTCATTAGGTCGCCATGCCTGACCTTGAAGTCATTATGGCTGACCTAGAACATTCCATCCTCCTGTTTTGGCCTTCTGAGTGCTGGGATGACCGTTGTACGACACCAGGCCCAGCTGCCACCAATATAAATGAAGCATAGGTTCCCTGGTGTGGGGAGTTGACCAAAGACACTGATGGAGAAAGTCCTGGGGCCCCTGGCTAGGTGCTCCCCTCTTGCTAGCCATCACCGCTCTGCTCTTTTTTTCCTTCCTGTCCCGTCTCATCCTCAGGAATTTCTCTCAACTCAGTCCTGACTTTGTTTATATGATTTTACTCCCTGATGGGTAAGGGAGGACAGTCGGAAACATGTCCTTAAAGTTCCTTCCTGAGCCGGCTCCCTGGGGACTGTTACCAGGAGGAAGTGGGGCTGCTTGAGAATCAGGGGTACCGGCCAACATGTAGGCTGAGGATCTCTGTGTCACCCCGTTCTTATGGGACTCGGTCCTTCGGTCAGCTACCTGGGAAAAGGACGGATTAGCTACAGTGCACATTTAGGCCTGAATTAGAGAATAATACACACATGGTAGTTAGGGCTTTTGTGGGACTTGCACCATTCCAAGAACTGCACTCAGGATTCACACACAAAGCTGCGCCTGCATGGGGGGGAGGGGGCTTGCCTGTGTGCCTACTGTACAGCTTACCGGTAGAGCCCTAGCCCAGGACCGCCTGGTGAGGGGTTTGGGTGTGGCTCAGGGGTAGAAACCCTGCCTAGAATCCTCCAGGGAGGAGCTGGAGTCCTGCTCAGAGGTGAGGATACTGACCAAGCGTGGGAAATGCCTTGGGGTGGGGACAGGTGCTGTTATGTGACATTTTGCTCACTGGAATACCCATAGCAAAGCAGGGAGGTGTAGAGCAGGGGCTGTGACCCCCGAACTGAGGCAGAGAGAAACATCTGAGGATGACAAGTTCCAAGGCCAGCCTAGGCTACACAGAGAGTTCGCAGACAGGCTGAGCTACGTGAGCGCTAGCTTAAAAAAAAAAAAGGCAAAAAACAGAACTAATTTCCTGAAGGGCTGAGTCACTCCTTCACCCTCGGAGAGTGAGCAAGGCGGTCGGGTCTCTGACTACGCGCTGAGTCTGCTCACTCCCCGGTGAGCGCTCTAAGCCGCGAAGGAAGGCGGACCCGGGACTCACGGGACTTAATTGGGACTAACCGGGCGCCTCCTAGGGGCAGGGACGCCGACTCAGTACGTGACATCACGCAAGAGCGCGGTGACGTCAGCTACGTCGGGAGGAGGGCTCCGGCCACGCTCCCGCGAGCGGCCGTTGGACGGCACCGCCCTCTGACGCCCCACTTCCGCCGCTCTTTGCATACCCAACGAACGGACGTCGCTGCGTCGACGCGGTGACGTCACGGGCGCCGCCGCGCACACTCCCCCACCACCCCCGCCGCGAGCGTGCAAACGCACGCTCGTACGTAGGCACGCGGGCACGCACGGCCCTCCGGCGGGCGGGGGAGGATCGGCGAGGTCGGCGGCGCCCCGCCCAGTCAGCAAGGTTGCGCGCGCCCAGGGTGACCGCCGAGATGGTGGTGGGCGCGTTCCCCTTGGCGAAGCTGTTCTACCTGGGCATCCGGCAGGTCAGCAAGCCGCTGGCCAACCGCATCAAAGAGGCCGCCCGCCGCAGCGAGTTCTTCAAGACCTACATTTGCCTGCCGCCGGCCCAGCGTGAGTCTCGCCCCGCGGTCCCCAGCCCTTCCATTCCCGACCCTTCTCAGGTGGTTGCTCGGGGGACTGGCTTCTGGGCCTGACGAATCCCGACGCGGACCGGCAGAACCCTGTAGCCAATGGGGATGGCGCCTGTTGAAGGGGCGTGTCCAGTAGCGGAGAGGGACGAGCGGTCAGCGGCGTCACCGCGCGTCTTTGGAACGCCAGCCAATAGGGAAGAGGGCCTGTGGCGGTTGATGTCAACGCGAGCCAATGGGGCGAGGTGTGAGAGCCATTAGGGTGGGCTTTTTTGTCAGAAGTTAGGGGCGGGACTGAGAACCCGTTCGGCATCCTTTGCCCAGCCATCCTTAAGAGACTTGACTTCCGAGCTCTACCCTGTCCCTCAGTTTCCCTCCTTCCTTGTGGGTGCTTGCGTATTCACCTGGGTTTAGAGCACAGGGCTGTGGCTTAGTTTTACTCTGGGTCCGAGTTAGAGTCGTGATGGTGACCTGGCAATGGACATCCATCCCTTTACGAGTTTCCTCATGCTCGTACATTCGTTCGGTAGCCGCACCGGGCAGACCTCGTGGCTGGACACTAGTAGGTCCTTGTATGTCAGCGTTGTCTCAGAACAGTCAGGGACTGGGAACAGTCAGACTCTTAAACAGTCTGGAGTTTAGAGTAGCCGGGTGAGCCAAGGGAGCCTCCTGAGCATTGCGAACACACCAGATAGGAGATCCTGGAAA